TTGTGCGTACTTTGTCTCTCCCTTCCTTTAATTATAGATGTGTCCTACCATCTCTATAGAATTTAAGCCCTTTTTTATTTTTGTGACACTTGTCCATTCTTTAATTTTGATTTAATAATATAATAATATAGATATTACAATGAATCTAACGACGGAGTTTAAAACACTTCTCTCTCCCTAATGATGATACCCCATCAAAACTGGTCTCTTTTCCCTCACAATTCCCTTTTCTCTCTCTCTCAAATAACTCTCTACGTACCCTAACAACCGAGTTTTATTATTTCTCAAATGAGTTCCCTAACAACAAAGTTTTAAAAATCATCATACAAATCACTCAATCCATATCAAAAATTATTGATGGCAATCTGACCCTAAAATCTATCAGTTCTCTTGCTCTCTCTCTCTCTCAAATCAGTCTCTCTACCTACTAAAATCTATCAGTTCTCATGCTCTCTCTCTCAAATCAGTCTCTCTACCTACCCTAACAACTGAAGTTTTATTACCTCTCTCAAATGAATTTCCTACCAAAAAAGTTTTAAAAATCATAATACAAATCATCCAATTCATATCGGAAAACAAAGTTTAAAAAATTACAATACAAGTCACTCAATCCATATCGAAAATTATTGATGGGAATCTCACCTTAAAGTTTGAGCCGGTTCATGCCATACCAATTTTGCCCAAGTTTTGTCGAGCAGAATCGAAAGCACATTTTTTTTTTATATATCTTTTTTGCTCTGCTTTTGAGAAATTACTACTTCTAGCCATTATTCTCCCCTTGCGCTTTGAAACTTACGATGTGGGACAAAACAGTCCCCTAGTTTTTGTTACGTCTCACATTAAAGCCTTACATCAAGCTTTCACATGGCCTCGTTCTTCTAGTTTTTTTAATTTTTTTATTTTTATTTTTATTTTTATATTTTTAATATCTTGTTCTTCAACCACAAAACCCAATTTAAACCACATGTTTCTTAAACTCATCTATAAACTATAAAGAACTATATGTTCTTTCAATTGAAAATTAAACTAACATGGTTGGGATGGATTAATAATAACGATGATTAAAAAAAGTGGAAATAGAGACCATATAAGATTCTTTCCATGCCTTTTTTTACTTATAGGAATACCGTCATGCTTGATTCTTTTTACTTATTTCATTTTTGTTGGAATACATTCATGCTGGATTCTTTTTACTTATTTGATTTTTATTTATTAATTTTCAGTTTTTCAATGGTGGGGTTTATTAGCTAGGACAATCAGTATTAAATTAAAAATTTCACAAGAATCTATTATTTGTATATTTTGGAGTGATTCAATGACAGAAACAATTTGAGTGTCGAATTGGATTTTTATTGAACTGTGAAATGAACGTAATAGACAATAAACACTCATTAGAGATGTTTTTAGTGCTTACATAATTTAATAAAATAATGAAAAATCATAATGTAACAGCACTATCATATTTTTTTAAAAATATTAAAATATTTAAGTTTTTTAAAACTTTTAGTGATTATTTAAATTTTTTTAAAGCAACACCCCATCTAATTCTCCAATCCGATGATTTGACCCGATTTTCAAGATAGTGGATCTGGGTGACCGATCTGTTTTTCAAACCCTTACTAACACTAATACATTAAAAAAAAAAACCAACTCTTAATCTTCTTGAAAAATGGGCTGGACCTGTCTTCTCCACTGAATTACCCTCACCACCACCAACCCCCCCCCCCCCCCCACCACAAAAAAAAAACTAATTCTCTCTCTCTTGTGCCATCTGAGACACTTGTGCAAAAGGAAACTAATTCTCTCTTGTGCCATCTGAGAATTTTGTGCAAAAGGAGGCTTGGGATATACACCTACCCCGAAGCTCTATCACTTCCCAAAGCCTAAGACAAAGCTCAGTTACCCAATCTTATTTCCTCGACAATCCCATACCAAATCCCTCTCTTTATATGAAGGAAAATTGTTTCACGTGGGCTGGACCACATTACTACATATGCGGTTTAGAAAATGTGAAGCATCCATCTTAAAGATGGATGCAAGTAGGTGTTCCATCTAGAAACTATGGAAACTAACGGTTCAAATGTTTTTTTACTAGAAATATTATTTCTAAATTTTAAAATTTATTTATTTTTTCATATTCATGATCTCTATGTTAAGAGATTACATATCCTTAAAAATTAAGTCTTAAAATCCATCTCAAAAATAGATTTATTAAGAGGCCCGTTTTCTTGTATCCGTGACCACTGTTTTCTTGTAGTTTTTCCCTTTAGGTTTGTGTTTTAGGCTATTGTGGTATCTGGATTGGATTCATGTCCTAAGAGCTTTGAGGGTTAGAAACTTAGTTTTTCTTCAAACTCTTTTTCCTAAAATATTGATTTTTTAGTTTTTGAGAATGTGATGCTATACTGGGTTTAATTTTAGTTATCATTGCTCGAATTATTATTATTGCTGTTCTTGTTTCTTTATATGTGGCTCTTGAAGTTGTTTAGGTTCGGTGAGCCTTTATTTATTTGTTGTTAAACAGTGGCAAACTTATGCATTATTTTGTTTCTCTATTGACTCATATGTATGGTTCAATCAGTGTTTGTTAAAATCGAACCGGAGCGGTTAACCGGACATGTGCCTGGAAGCTGTTTAACTGATCTAATTGGTAAACCGGCCAATTCAACCGTTCTAACTGGGCAAGTTTTGGACAGTCAAAAAAGTGTTCAAAAAATAAAAAAGATAAAAAAAATATACTAAAATATGAAAAGCATATAAAAAATTATTAAAATAAAACACATTCAAATGAAGTTGAAAATTAATGAAAAATAGATTTTAACAAATCGATTTTTTAATTAAAGTCAGTATTAATGACAAAAAATAATTTTTAATCTTTAACATAATGTAAATAATATTAAAAAATACATTACAAATCAAATTCCTTACTTTTGGAAATTTATATATATTTTTTTGAATTTTTTTTTAAAATATTGGTCGATCCGGCACTAGCCAATTCTGATCTAACTAGGCAGTTAGCGGTTAGATCGCCCGGTTTTTCTAACAATGGTTCGATTTGGTAAGGAAAATCCTAGATACTGGAGTAGATGTTTAGGGCATAGAATGAAGCGATTTATTTTCTGAAACTCAGTCAAAATCTGTGGGTGTTTTCTCTTTTCAACTAATGCAGCTGGAATGTGGTTTCAACCAGTGTTCGCAAAATCAAATCGGAATGGTTAACCGGGCATGGGCTCGGAAGTGGTTTAACTGGCCTAATCGGTAAACTGGCCGATTCAACCGTTCTAACTGAGCAAGTCCCGAGAGGTAAAAAAAGTGTTGAAAAAGGTTGCTAGTTGTAGACCAATTGTTGCTGGTTCCTGTAGATGGTCTATGGGAAGTGGGGTCTCAATTTCTTTTTGGCATCATATTTGGGCTGCGAAATATCCTCTTAAATCTATCTTTCCAGAGTTATTTGACGTAGTTATGATGCAAGGCGTTAAGGTCAGTGACGTGATTGAGAGAAGAGGAGCTGCTTGGTCCTAGAATATTCCTTTGATTTACAACAAGATTAATGATACTCGGTTTGAGCAGTGATACTCGATGAGGTGTATGTCTCTCCAGAGGCTATAGATGAGATGGTTTGGATGCTGGAAAGTGATGGCATCTTCACCGTAAAGTCGTGCTATAATCTCCTTTTCAATGATCGGTGGCGGTGGTCTCTTCCCCAAGTAGCCAAAGTATGGAAGTGACCCATACCTCATAAGGTTCAGGTTTTTATTTGGTTGGCCTTAATAAACAAAATCTTAACAACTGATAATCTGATCAAAAGATGTATGATTCTCCCCAATGTCTGCCTGTTTTGTAAAGCTGATGGTGAGTCTGTTGCTCACTTGTTGCGTCATTGTCCATTTACTAGCAAAATTTGGTATTGGCTATTTGGTCTGGTAAACATTAGTTTGACTCTTCCATCGGCGGTGGACGGGATCGTATCTCAACTGTCGGTATCTCATTTGCCTAAAAAGGTGCTAGAACTTTGTGGAATGTAGCGAAAAGGGTTATTCTACGGGAAGTTTGGAGGGAAAGAAATAGAAGAACCTTTGAGGGTGTCTCCCTTTCTTTGGACTACTTGGTTTATGCAATTAAATCGACGATTTGGTCATGGTTTTCAGTTACTAGAGAAGAGGTTGGGGGAGAGTAACTAAGATCGACGTTTATTCAAACGTCAGCAATCTTTTTCTGCTTGGAGGAAGGACTTGTCGTCCCAAATCTTTCTAGACACCACCATTGGCAGGTACTTTGAAGCTTAATTTTGATGGTAGTTCTCAAGGTAATTGAGGTATTGCGGGTATAGGTGGTGTGCTTAGAGATGGAGGCAATGTCATCTTCTCCTTTGCTAGTCTCATTGGTTGTGCCACTACTAATAGAGCTGAACTAAGTGCAGTGTACTATGGGTTGAAAATTTTCAAGGAGAAGAATTGTGGGGATACTGTTTGGATTGAAAACTCCTCTAGTGAATATGGCAAAAAAAATATTTTTGAGTCTTGAAAATAGTGTATCTTACAACAAATTATCTAGACTATCCATTTTCAATATTTTCATATGTTTATAGATCTACTTGATTTTAACCATTTTGGATTTTAAATTTTTATAAGTAGACATGAAAATAAATTTTTAGATAATCCTAATAATTTCTGACATCAAAATTACATGTTATGATAAACTTTGGAGGGGTACCTTAATTGGATTGTTTAAGGTTGCAATCTTATAGATATTAACTTTTATCAAAAAAAAAAAAGGAAAAAAAGAAGAAGGGGTTGCAACCTAATAAAAGCTCACCCTTTTCTAACAGCGGTCTGAACAAAGAGTTTCTTTTTATAGGCTTAATTGAAACACGACATTGTTAAAGTTTTCTTATCATTTCACTCTTTTAAAGTTTATTTAATCTTTCTCTAAAACTTTTTGTTCATTTTTCTCTATTTTTTTAGTTAGAATTGCTTGTAAGACAATTTATGATGGCCTCCGCGAAACAAAACATAGGATTCTCTATATGTTTCAAGGCCTGGGCCGAATGGGATATGATATCAAGCTTATTTTGCATCGAAGCAGGCCCTGTACCGTGAATGAAAAGCTCTTTTAAGATACAGTAGGAGAAGAGATTTCAGAGAGAGATGCAGAACGCAGTTGTGTTGCCCTCACCTGCGAGGCTTGGCCTCTCAACATCAACTCCTCTCCCTCTAAACCAGAACCCAAGCCCTCAAATCTCAATCCCAGTACCCAACCTACCTTCAACTTCAACTTCCTCTTCACTTCCTGCTCCTCCTCTTCTTCATCATCAGACCCCTTCCACTCTCCTCTCTCTCTTACCTCCTCATCCCCGTGCCCAATTTCTCGTCCTCCATCTCTCTGCCCTCACAACTAAGCTCTTCGACGTCTCAGGTACTCTCTCTCTGTCTCTCTCTCTCTCTCTCTACTGTAACTTAACCTAAACTTTAATTTACTAGTGCTTTTCATACATTAATATGTCCATTCTCCTCAATCTGAGTGCCTGCCTCTCTCTCTCTCTCTCTCTCTCTCTCTGTGCAGGCAACAGATCATCATGGCTGGCATCTTACAGAGGAACTCTTCCCACCTTCCTCCCTGCCTCAACCCTCCCTCAAGAAGCATCCTCTGCTTCAACAACAAAGGAGATCCTTTCGCTTATCTCCTCTACCCAATCACAACTCTCTGAAGCCATTATAGAATTACAAGAAGCTCTCGACCTTGAAGAAGCAAAACGCAAGCTAGCAAGAGAAACCCACCTCAAGGATTCAGCAATGCTCGCTTTTGCCAAAAAGGTAAAGCAATCAGAGCAACTTCTCGGATGTTTGGTTGAAGATTATGAAGATTACAGGAAACCCAAGAAGCGATTCAAGCCCAATTCTCAATCCGAAGATAGTTGTGATTCTTATTTGAAGCTCTCTGATATTTTATCATATGCTCATCGAATTAGTTATACCACTTTCGCCCCACCTGAATTTGGTTCGGTACAAGCCCCTCCCCTTAGAGGAGCTCTTCCTCCAGCTCCTCAAGAGGAACAAATAAGAGCCTCTCAATTGTATCAATTTGCTGATCTTGATGTTGGGTTACCCCAAAAGGAAGAAACAATAAAACCCACACTATCTGGTATTGATTTGGTTGAACCCATGGTTGATGTGAAGGCAATCCAAGGCTTGATAGTTCCACCTCCGATGCCTTCTGGTTGGAAACCTGGTATGCCTATTGAGATTGGTGATGTACCCATTGTTCCACCTGGTTGGAAGCCTGGTGACCCTGTTCCTTTGCCCCCTGTTGTGGAGGTACCAGCTGGCTGGAAACCAGGAGATGCAGTTGTTCTTCCTAAGCATGCTGAGGAAACTGTTCCAATGGTTCAGAAGCCGTTAGTTAACAATGCGCCAGAACCTATCCAAGTCAAGTTTGTGCAGCTTGATATCAATCCGGATCAGGATGATTATAGTAGCGAGTATAGTAGTGATGTGGGTAGCTCTGAGGAGGATGATGAAGAATGAGAATTGAGTGTGATGATTTCTGTGGTTTTCTCTGATGTGGTTGTTAGAGAGTGGGATTGTGATGGAGAATTGGGTTTTGGATTTGGGATAGGAACCATATATGGGAATTGGCGCATATTTACGTAGTTGTGTTTGGATGGTAGTTGTGGACTATACTTTTCTAGTGGAGCAGATATGTGCAAGTTATGAGGTGGGAAATATTTTCTTATGTTGGATCAGGAAACAATGTAAGTGAAAATCAGCTAATTTTGTTTATTACAAGAGTCTTTGTTTCCCAATTTGATTTTAGTACGTGACAATTTTTTTGAAGTTTGTAAGAAATCTGGTTCATTAATAATAGTACACATTTCAAACTCCTGACATCAATTTGTGCATTGTGGAGTATTTGGCTGATAAGGGTGTATGTTTCAAAAGTTTCTTTTTTAATTACTTAATCTTGTCAGAAGGCACCCCAAATGCCTATTTGGGATTTCTGATTGAGTGTGACTGGGGATTCTATGTCGGGGATTCTATATCTCCACTTCTTTTCATGCTTGTGGCCCACTCCATGAAGGTTTCTAAGAAGGCCACCTCAAGTAGGAAGATTGAGGGTTCGAAAGTCAGTGAACGTTCCACACAGGCAATTTCTGGATTATTCAATTGTTTTCTATGACAGTTATTCTAAATATTTAGCTTGTTTTTCTTCTAAAGTTTTTCTGCACCTAGGAATTCTTTAAGAACACATTACTTACATGTATGAGGCAGACCCTCCCTGTTCCTGTTTGGGGTGGACTCTCTCCCTTTCTATCTTTGAGGTTGACTCTCTTCTATTCCTCTTAGTTGGACCTATCTCTGTCATTCATGAGTTCTTGATATATAATGGTCTAAGCTTAAGCTTCCTTGTAAGGAAGCTCAATCGCAATGGGAAGAGAACCGGTGCCTTTGATTTGAAGGTGAATAATTATTCACTCCAGATATACCTGTTTATTTATGGCATTTGATATTACAGAAATTTGCTTCTTGGTGCCTTTGAGGTTTGATAACATAGACCTGGTTCCTAAGTGAATTTGGATGCTTTTCTTGTAATTAGTGAATTTTCATGCTTTGGACAATGGAATATAACTGATGGAGTTACATTTTGAAGACCAGTTTCTGGTGTAGAAATTTGGCAGCATGGAATTACCATTATCAACTTGGCTGCTTGGTAGCTATAGGATGTATAGTGGAGAGGTTTACTGTCCATCAGAGAATGGTGGAAGGAGTGATCAACATGGATATGAAATGGAAACTAAGATTTGACATTCAAGTGATTGGAAGTGCATGTAAGAGTATCTTGGGGGCTACATGGGTAGGCTTGGCGATGTTGGATAGGGAGGGGCTCAGTTACTTAAATTCCTTGAGAACATTTGTAGGATTCTAATAAGAACAGATGCAGACACGAGTTTCCATTTGGAATCACCAATTAATCTCAAAAGGGATTTTTCTCTTTAGAAGTTACAATTTTTAGGTTCATTCTATTGTGTGAATGGGATGAGCAAAGGATGATTGAACTGCTAAAGCATTCAAATGGACCCATTTTTCCTAAAGTGGGCACTAGTCCCTGCTTCCATTGCTTTGGTGTTCCTGAGGGACATTTTTCATGCATTTAGTGCCTATGGACCAATGAGAACTGTAGGCTACGAATGGAAATGAGCTTTGCTAAGTTCACAATGGAGCCCACTGCAGTTTGTCCTGAGAAGAGAAGTGTTTTAGATATTTCGCTGAATCAGAGGATGATGATCGTTGAAGAAAATAGAAGTAAAAAAAAAAAAGGAAAAAAAAGAAAGAAAATAAAGGAAAAGGCTGGAGATTTTAACACTTTTAAAAATTGATAATTATGCGAAAAAAAAAGGAGTGAAGTTTAGGGACATTTGAAAATCATTGAGATGTTGAATGCTGGAGTAATGCAGATAAGGGCTGGGTTTAGTGTGTTTGGGGATGAATATATTATTGGGAGCTTGACCCACATCCAAAATCCATCTTAGATACTGATTTTGGATCCAAAATTCTACACATCTATCATCTCAATCATGAATTCAAAACGACAATTACTCTTGAGCCTAAAAAACGGCCCATATTCATAATAAAAAAAAAGAGGCCCTATTGTATCTCTTTTTGTGTACTGTTCATTTCAATACTTCAAAGATTATCACATCACACTGTTTTTAGAGCTCTAAATTTATGGAGTTCAGGTGAAATGGATTTGCAGTGATTTGGCATGTGTTTTAGGTCATAAAACCCTTGAAAACTGGGGAAAATTCATGAGTCTGAGAACTTGCCAAGAACTTCTCTTTCAGATAAATGATCATCTGATTTTCCAGAAAGATCCGAAATCCATACATCATCATCTATAAATCTGTGTGGCAAAATAATACACATTCATGACCATCATTAATTGACTATGACAAAGGAAGAAAAATAAACACATGTCGTTAATGATTTCCTATCCCAATCATCCATGATCTGTGACCAAGTTTGCCTTAATGACACAAACACATCCTTAGCTCCTTATAATAATTCTTAGAGTAACAACCTTAATCAAGCCCTTCCTATCATTTTTTAGGGAGAATATCATAGTAGGCCCTTTCAAGAATGGGGACTTAGCGTCAAACCCACGAATTTCTTTCCTCTCAACTAGCATGGCCATTTGACTATAGATTTCACTGAACCCCTTCTGTTCACCCCATCCTGCTGCCGTATACTTTTTTGTTGAAATAAGCTCATGAAAACTTTTTATTTCCACTCAAATGCAAATCCTCAGATCCCCATTTCGTTGGTTCTCTCACATGCTTAACTGAGGTGGCATGACACGTCACACAGAAGTTAGAAGACTCCCAAAGCAATAGAAGATGAGATAAACTTTCAGGGAAGGAAGGACTTGAAGTGAGAAAGCAGGTTTCTCCACAGATACATGATCTCAAAGTCTCGAACCCTTGAGAAAATGGCAAAAAAGAGAACAAAGAGACCCAATTTCTCTTTCTCTCACTTTCTCTCTGTTGGAGCCATACTCACTCTCTCTCTACAAGCTCAGGGTCCAGAACCACTTCAACCCACCGAGATTTGAGTCCATCAAGCATATTATCCATTGGTTCGAGCCCACCTAGTCGTATCAAAGGTGCTCAAATTGGCACCATGGCTCAAATTCACACCAAGGAAACTCGAATTGGAGCTTTAATGGTGGTTTCAGCAATGAAAACACTAACCAAAGGGCTAATCTCCAAGCTATCCAGCTTTATCTGATGAATATAGGGCAAAGAAACTATATAGGATGACAGAGAAACAGGCGGTTCCTAAACAGAGCAAGAGTCTCTAGCCAATAAGAGTCCTAACATCAATACCTGATCAGAATAAGGAGTGCTTCTTGGACTTGACAGTTTTGTTAACTGACATTGAGAAAATGATAATTGTGGTCTTTCTCTTTATCACCTATAAGACACTTGGGTATGATTAAGCAAAACCCAACTGTCAAAGCTGGTCCAAAACTGGTGGATGATATAAGAATCAATGAAGTATGAATCTGTACACTGTGGCCAATTACCAGGCCAATAATGGTGGTTGTTTGATCTCATCTTGATAGTTTCGGGACTTCAGGGCCAAAATTTTCAGGTTGGGCTTCGAGTTCTGGCTGTGGAGGTTTTGTTTGAGTAATTTGGGGCTTTTTTACTAGGAATGGAGCAGAGAGATTGATCTTTCCAAAAAAAAGAAGTGGAGCAGAGAGATTGCATGTGAGAGAAGGAGAAGAGAGACTTTTTGAGGGTTTTAGAAAGAGAGGTGTGAAAGCAAAGAGGTTGGACCATAGTTACCGGAATCTCTCCATCGACCTTGTGATTCCGGTTCCGAAACCCGATTCTACGTTTCCGTTTAGGAATCTTTGCGAAAACCGTTTTTCGGAACCTAGGAAACTCGATTCCTTAATTTCGAAATCTCGATCCAACACACCTTTGGAAACTTGAACCCATTAATTGTGGATAGGCACTCCCAAATATATCGAATTTGGATTCTAGTGGGAATTAAATCTTAATTCAAAAATAAATAAATTCAAAATATCAAAAAAAATAAAAATAAATGCAAAGTACATAATGTCCAATGTTTGTGATGGTTGCGCACTTCCTAAAGAAAATTGGAATAGAAATCTTCTTTCGAATTCTTCTAGTGGTTACAGTGTTTCATTATTTTACTTGTGCCACCCTAGACGGCCTTTACTTTAAATTTAAAATATAACTAGTAAATACAACACATACAATTACAAGTAAAACCATGGCATAAACATATTTTTATTTTGTCTACATAATAATGAAGTCAAAATCACAATTTAGAAATACTTATCTTTTGTATATAATGACCGTAAGTTCAATAGTCAACCCAATCACTTTAAAATTTGGGAAACCTTCTAAGAAGAGATATCCAATGTAGGTTCTAAAGTTGATAAGGCTCAAGATGTGCTTGAGGCTTCTTTCTCCATAAAAATGAAATCTCGATTCCTGGTAGGGGTCGTCAAACGCATTCCCTAGTCCATATTATTGTAAATCTTGATCTCAAACTGGCATGGATTTCTGACCCATATACTTTAGAAACTTGATTCCAAATATGTTAGAATCACGATTTGAAACAACAACATATCTTTGTTCCGCATATGTCAGAAATTTGATTTCACATATAATAAATTTTTACTCCTGGAGTATCGATTCTAAGGGGATGGGAATCTCGATTCCAAGAAGGACAGAATCTCTATTGCATATGCGAATGAAATTTAAATCTATTTCGGTCGAAACATGATTCTTAAAAACTAGGAATTTCGTTCCCAACGATTCTTATAGTACGGACAACGATTCCTAAGACGAGAGAATCTTCTAGCCGACCACGATTTCGCGATTCCGTTTCCTAAAGCGATTTGAGTTCCCATGCGTTTCCAACTGCTATAGGTTGGACTTCTCTGAAAATCAAAAGGTTCAATTGGCCCATGTCGGTAGAAAATTTTGAGGAAAGAGGGTAGCTTCTACAGAAGGGGGTCTTTCATATCTATGGACAATTTGCAAATGTTGCCTGAAAGGAAATAAATTAAAGGGTTTCATGTGAAATCACTATTTTTGAAAGGGGTTAAAATGATTTTCTCCTCATTTTTTATTATCATTATTATCACTCTCAGTGCTATCACCACAATTATAGTCCCCCTCTTCCTCATCTTTTTCCATTGTCCACTCAAGTCCTGCCCATGTAAAGTCTTTCCCATCAAGGCCCGCATTAGCCTTTTAATCCACTCTTTAGTGACAAACTACTCTCCAAGATAATACACTTGGTTCTGTTATAGCTGCCTACGTAATAAGGAGAGAGCAGTTTGCGACCTAGGTCTGCAGGTACCAAAATGCCTGTGGACTACGGAAGCCATAGGACTATAAGCACTGATCTGAAGTGAAAATTCCAACAATCTCAGAATGACCTGAGAACGTGTAAGAACGTGGCTAAGGGTCTTCTAAGAACACCTGCCAAGTTTCGTCGCAATCCGACGAGTTTTAAGCAGTGCAGACGTCTAAACAGTTTCGAGCAATCCTACCTCTATCATGTTGAAAATGGATTTTGAACTACGACACCATTATCAGAGCGTCAAATGGTCTCCAGACCATCGCCATTGGATTCAAAATGGTCGAAAACCCCTGAGTACCAATTTTCGGCCTGTTTGGACGCTTCTGGAACAACTTATGGCCAACCTACCCAAAATAGATAGGCAGTACACGGTGCGCTCTCGGCTAACCAGCCAGTTAATGGAAACTGTGCATCACCAATTCGGGGACAAACTTCACAAGGTCATATCTTCTTCATCTGGGGTCAAATCGAGATCTGATCGAGCCCAAATTTTGGGAGCACGTTCGTCTCGTCGATCCGATTGATTTAATATGTGACATGCACGGTGACATGGACCAAGCCGGGAGAAGTGGAAGAGAGAAGTTCGCCGGAAAAACCCAAAAGTTGCGGGGAAATTCTAGCCACGCGTCTCGCCGATCAAACTCCCATATCACAGCCCTCGCGCTTCATCGGATCGACCCCAAACCAGACCCATTACGAGCACAAGGTCAGAGGCTTCATCTGAGCCGAACCTCGCACGTGATGGACAGTCAGATTCGACGCACGATGAGTCCGAAGTTGCTGCAATTCTGGCCACCGGAATCCAAACTCCGGCCAAAGTTTCTCAATTTGGAAAATGGTCATCCGGGCATCAAATCGAGCCGTTCTTTTTGCAGAACAATCGTGGCAACTTGTTCGTCACGCTACAATCAAGAAAGCAACGAAAAACATTGAGAAACAGGCTGAATCTTAAAATTAAGATTGCACGTTTTTCCATGTTTTGCCACATCATGATCATAGTTTGAAACTCAGATCCACGTCCCGAAATTGGTACCAAAACAATCGTCTTCTTGAGCTCATTAGGAAAACAGTAATCTTTCGGCTGGATGGTGACCAAAAAACCCCGAATAATCAACCATAGAAAGTTCACACGTTTGAACGGCCATCACAGGGACTGATTTGGAATTACTCAGATTGTTGGTGCAGGGGCAAAGTCGTCATTTTTCCCCATTTTTTTAGATTTTTTTTAATTCTTTTAATACTTAATTTCCATCAATTAGGTTAAAAATTGATCATCTACCCATGTTTGGGCCCCACTTCTATATAAAGAACCTACCATCTACATGTAAAGGCCCTCCTTTTTTGGATGAATAAAAAATTTCTTTTTGCTTGAGCATTGGGTCATGGCTTGGAGAGAGAGAAAGGAGAGAGAATATTCGAACGGGTACCCCTAGGTAACTTTCTCTCTCTTCTTTTTCTCTTTTCTCCTCTTCTCTCTCTTCTTTTTCTCTCTTCTCTTTCTCTCCTCTCTCTCCTCTTCTCTCTTCTTTCTCCCTCTTCTCTTTCTTCTTTCTCTCTGTTCTTTTTCTCTCTTCTTTCTCTCTCTGACACAGATGGCAGCGTTAGACGCCGCCTATGTCAATCCTATCTTTCTCTCTCTTCACAGACGGCAACAAGCTGTCGTCTGTGTCTCTCTCTTCTCTCTCCTCTTTTCTCTCTTCTCTCTCTCTTCTCCTCTCTTTTCTTTCTCTCTCTTCCCTCTCTCTCTTCTTTCTCTCTCTCTGACACAAACGGCAGTGTCAACCGTCGCCTATATCAATCCTCTCTTTCTCTCTCTTCACAGACGGTAGCAAGTCTCTCTCTCCTTCTCTTTATCCTCTCTTTTCTTTCTCTCGCTATCTCTCCCTCTGCACAAGGGTACCGATGTGGGCCTATCCTTTTTGGCAGTCCTCATTGGGATTTCTGTAATCTCTCTGTCTCTCTCCTCTCACAGGGACAGTGACATGGGCCTACTCTTTTTGGCAGGCCTCGTTGCCGTCCCTCAGTTCTCTCTTCTTCTTTCTCTATCCTTTTCTCTCCTTTCACAGACGGAAGTCAAGCCGCCGTTTGTGTTCTCTCTCTTCCCTCTTTGCAGACGGCCGTCAAGCCGATGTCTATGTTCTTTTTCTCTCTCCCTCCTTCACAGATGGCAAGCAGCCCGCAGTCTGTGTTCTTTTTCTCTCTCCCCTCTTCACAGTTCCCTCTTTTTCTTCCCTTCTTTCCTCTTTCTTCCCCCTTCTTTCCTCTTTCTCCGCATTCATTCTTCCTCCCTTCTTTTCTCTTTCGTCTCTCTTCTTTCCTCTTTCTTCTTTCTCCTATCTTCTTTCCTTTGTCTCCTCTCTTCTTTTTTCTTTTTTTTCTCGATTCCCTGTAATCTCTCTCTCCTCTTATAGGGGCTATGAAGTGGCCTTCCCTTTTTGGCAAGCCTCGTTGCCGCCCTTGTATCCTCTTTTCATTTCCTTCTCTTCTCTCCTTTCACAGATGGCAGGCAAGCTGTCGTCTGTGTTCTTTCTCCCTCTTCCCTCTTTACCGACGGCAATAGGCAGCCGTCTGTGTTCTTTCTCCCTCTTTCCTTTTCACAGACGGTAGGCAAGCTTTCGTCTGTGTTCTTTCTCTCTCTTCCCTATTCACAGACGGCATTAAGCCGCCGTTTGTGTACTTTCTATCTCTCCTCTCTTCGCAAATGGCCGGAAAGCCACCATCTGTGTATTTCCCTCTCTCTTCTCCTCTCTATCTTTTTCTTTCTCTTTCTCTTCATTCTAATGTATTTTCCTATCTAACCCTTTCACTCTCTCTTTTCCTCTCTCTATCTTTTTCTCTCTCTTTCTCATCCTTGTAATGTATTTTTCTATCTAACCCCTTTATTCTCTACCCCATTGTATTATAAAAATATGTATTAATAGTCTTTTGTTAAGGAGACGCCGGAAGGTTGTCAAATTAATACAAACTTGATCATGTTATTTTCTATTTTCCTTTGAGTACACACGCATGTGTGCAGTCCCCCTATGACAAGGTGGGGTCTTCAGACGCACTTGTCTTGTATTCTAATGTGTGTGTGTGATTGCAGGAGAAAAAGAAATAGGCCAAAGGAGGTGATTTCGAACCGGTCATAAACCCGTGGGGCATTCCAACGTGATCTAAGAGGGCGCCCACGCGAGTTAGCCCGAATGCGTCACGGACCCAGGTGAGGTAAGTCTCACCTCACACCTTAATTCCTCTCTCACCGGTTGGTAATCCTGCTCGTTTCCTTACGACATGGTTCACAAGAGAGTTGTCTCAAGTCCCCAGTCCATATCGAACCTGGAGCCAAGTCATCAGGTCACCTCGACCCGAGGGCGAGATCGAGGTATCTAACCAACATAATCTGGTCACGAGAATGCAAATTTATAAATTGTAACTTGTATAGAGAAATGATGCTTTGTGAATTGTACCTTTTCTTGTAGCTACAAAATAATGGTGGACAATAACTCGATCTTTCAATCTGTTATATCCTTGAATGTTCTCTTTCTGCATAGGATGGACATGAATGATGAGCCAATTTGAATGTTCTCTTAGTGTATCATAATAACTTTGAAAAACTCACGACAATCAAGGTGTCCACTTTAAGTTTGAAGAGATGGGATTTAACATGTGCAAAAAAAAAAAAAAAATTCTGGTACAATTTGCTAAAAAATGTGCCAAAAAATTATTTAGAAGAGTAACAAGGGGTACATACTGTTATAAATTATTTTTTTGTGCATGAAACAAGTTTTTTCTATTTTTTTGACCCGTGAATATAAGATAATCGACATATAGGGTTCCTAACCTGTGGTTACGAACCTACCATACTACCTTCGTAGATAAAAAAAGAAAAAGGAGTATTTACGCACATATCCTCCAAACTTTTGTTATAGAAATCCCTGACTCTTTTATGTCATTATGTCCATACCCAATTTTTTGCTTTTTTTTTAAATGATGACATTGCCCTTACTTTGAAACTTGAAGGTCCAAAGTTTAACATTTGTAATAAAACACTTGGACTTCTACTTAGGTGCTTATAAGTTTTAAGAATACTTAGGATCTTAAAAATCTAAAGTTCTACAAACATTGATCATAAAATCTAAAGTTTTCTTTGCATCTAGCAAGCCCACAGACTTGTAGGAGGCTAGAGAGAACTTGAAAATCCAAAGTTTCTTTGCATCCCGTAAGCCCCCGAGCGAACTTCCAGAAAGAACTTTGAATTTTGAAATCTGAAGTAAGGGTAGTTTGGGGAAAAAACATAAAAGTGGGTATGAAGTAATATTCATTTTTTTTGGGGGGGGTGGGATTTTTAGTAACAGTAATTTAAAGGGATATTTCCATAAATTTCTCTAAAGAAAATGAAAATTGTGTTCTTGTCAATGAAAATTGAGGTGTTGATTACAAGTAATATGTGTAAAGAAGACTAAGTACATTTTTGGGTAACATGCACTTACGTCATATGAACATACAATGAAACAATTACAAGCATATGTCCCTGGAAACTAAATAAGACCCTTATCTAGGGTTGAAAGTGATGCACATCGTCTTGACGAGGAGTGCACAACTTCATGTTGTCCCGTTCCTCTAAGCTTTCACAGCAAAGGAGCTAGACCCATGTGAATTCGCCCCTCATGCTCAAGTGGGCAAATATGAAAATGAAATGGCCTCCCCAGGACATAACTTAGCATATATGACTTATGTGACCTTTGTCCAAGAATATCTGAAGCAGAGAAGATTATTTCAGTTAAGATTCAACATATATTAAAATCCAGGTCGTCTTCACATTCTGAAGAATCTTACAGACAACTTCCAAATGACTATCCATGGATTCTGGGTCAACTAACAATGCTTGTTGTGACCAATTTTGGGCCATGAAATTGTCATGTTGCAGGACTGTTCACCCTATGTACGTGTATGCAGCTTCAACATCTCTTCTTTGTGCCTTGAACAAATTTCCATATTTGAATCCAATTGTATAATATGGACACACAAATCTTGCCAAGAATATCAATGCAATGCTACTGTAGGCATATCAAGATACAAGTATCACTCTTTAACAAGTCCATGCATGAAAATATGTAAGCTTCCTTAGTTGCTTCATCATTTAGAATTGGGAAAGTGATTCCTGTACTGCACAGTTATCCTTTGGGTGGATAGTGACTAGGTCATCCGTGCACAAGAGTGTGGCTATGAAACCTCCATCAAGTGAGTATGCACTGGACATATGATAACCTATTAACAGAAGATATTCCAAATATTTCCTATAGTGATGACATCGACCTTGAGTTGCCCTTTGTTGAATTACAAAATCAATATGTCCGTCTTGTTTTTGAAATCCCTCTTCTTCCTTGAATATTCCTGATTCTAGGTCACCATGAAAATTGCATTCTTGACACTTGTATAACCTGATAAATGCATGTTCTCCCCGTTATAATGCAGCACCGAGCTCTTATACGTACTGTTGGCACATACATGTTGGTTGTCCTCAGTCTCTGAATGGGACACAGTGTCCTACCTGGGGCCTGTACTACATAGGCTTGTTCTTCTGATTAGTCCTAGAGTTTTGGCTATGATGGGCCTAAACTCCCTATGGGAATCTGTCCAAAGGATCATCTCTCAAATTGTTGTTCATTAGTACAACCAGTAGAAGAAACGTTGGATGAATTAGCTCTATTTTTGTAAAATATTTACTTAATGAGTACATATTATTAATGCTCCACATACTATTTTTGTATAGTTCATTGCTAGTATGTTTATATGTTATGTAATATAATATACTTGAGTGAACAACAATTTAAGCGTAAAGGTATGTTCAAAACGATGCTTCTTCATCCCTTTATTGTGATGAGTGCTTATAAAATTTGAGCGGTAAATGGTTCCTTTTTTTTTTTTTGTATGTTGCAAGTGTTGATTTGTATTGTATTACTTAGTTTTAATACAACTTAAAAATGGCATCCCACAGGGGTGGATTCTACAGAGCAAGGAATCAAATAAATTGCGGGAATAGGATCAAACTCAAAGTCAAATAGAGTTTGTATTGGGGCGAGGAGAGACCATCCCCCACAGTAATAAAATTTGTGGGCTGTATACTTTCACTGTTACCAAAAAAAGGTGGGAGATCTGCCCCTCACTGTGGTCCAAAAAGCTGCTACAAATCCCAGTGGGGTCCCCTGCTGCGACTTCCTTGGCAATAATGTGGACAATGTGGTTGGCCTCCTGCCAGGTATGTCGGAAGAACACTCCTATCTGCCTGCACAAGTAGAATATGTGATTAAATAATGAGTCTAATCCCCATCGGCATTGGGGTGGGTGTCTTGGACGCATGGCTAATAGCACTTTTAGAGTCGCCCTTCACTATGAGCCTAGTGCCTGTGCTCCAGGAAGATTAGAATCTTTTGGGGCCTTCAAGCAAGGCAAGGCAAGGCAATGGTTTTGCCCATTGTCAAATTGACAATGCCCTGAAAAGGACAAAATGCCGATATACCTTGAAAAGAACAAAATGCCCATATACCCTGAAAAGGACAAAACGATGTTTCCTTTGTTCCATCTCTAAAGATTCCACATACCCCGCAGGATCAAGGTCCCGGGGGAGCAATGATCTATATTTAACTTGGGACAGTCCTTTTCTAGGGGCTACCACGAGGAGAATCTCTGTGAATGAGAGGATTATGTGCCATTTTGTGGTAAAATCAGAGGTGGAGAAATTTCGGCGGTCCGTATAGTTTTTTCTGCAAAAGAGATAGTGGCCACTTTAATGTGATCTGCTATTGCTGGAGTATTAAATTCTTTTCCTTAGAATATCCGGTAGTTGCTTTCTCACCATACTCCACATATGCTGGGTAGGACCACCTCTCTCCCTAGGAACAGCCCAGCCGCAGGATATGGTGAATAGCATAAGGCCATGAAGAGCTGTTGTGCTGTTTTTAGTGTCGCCCAGTATCCCTTCTAAGGATTGCATGGAGGCCTCTCCTTTGCAACTGCTAGATCATGAGGATTCTATTGTGAAGTACAATGTAAGTTCTTGGATCTTCCAGGGTGCTTGTCTCAATCATGCTTTTTGAGTAATGGACAGCCAGGGTTGATGGACTTATAGAAAGGAAAATGTGAATCTACCAGAATTTGACTGGGCGTATAGCACTCTATTGTGTCCGTCTGGAAGGATAAAAGTTTGTAGGCTTTGGAGAAGGGCCAAGAGATCCAGGCCCTTGTCTTTATTAGGCGATCTCATAAAAGTGAGGCTCTAGACCAAGGCTTCCCCTAAGACCTTGTAGGACAAGCCACGAAGGCGTTGGGGTTGCTTGTCAGTTGAAATAGGTTGGACCATCTTGTGGCTAGGGTGTTTTCTCCTGGTTGGCCATACGTCCTTCCAAAACCTCACCCGAGTGGCGGTTCTCGTGCAGAAATGAACTTGCGAGATGATTTTGAAGTGGCACTCTCTTGTGCTTTTCCTAGGCCCTGAGACTGGAGCATTTTGTGTTTCTCAGTAACCATCTTGATTCATGTGCCCCATATTTTTGTAGGATGCGAATTCCACAGTTACTTGTGAACTGCCACTACCATTTTCTAAGAGGGTGGTGTTTCAGTCTCTAAGTTTGTGGATCTACCATCATTTGCTTTGCAGAGCTTGTACCAAGCATCGAGGTGTAATTTATGCTGGCTGGCAACCTGAGATTACAGAAGTCCTCAACCTTTTACGTTTGTAGATAATGGCCGCAGGCGGCGATCTGGTAGTTAGGGATTTTGAAAGTGTGGCCATAATTGAGGTGATCTATCCTGCTAGAGATAGGAAGCTGCCCTTCCAAGCAGCCAGCCTGCAGATCCCAAAGGTGCTCTCTTGGCTTGTCAGGCATAAAGGCAATCCCAGGTACTTGGATGGGATAGAATGCGTGCGTGTGCATGGATTAATAGTTATAAAGTCATAAAGAACAGTTGATGATTTTATTTAAAAACTGGAGATTGAATGAAATCTAAGCATTTTGAAAACAATTCAGATACTTGTATTGTTTAGGAAGTATGTATTGGAGATTGAATGAAAGCTAAACATTTTGAAAACAATTTAGAATATTTGTATCATTTAGGAATTCTCATACTTCTATCGAGTTACATTTGTTTAGCGTTTGCTTAATGAGCAAATTGTTGAATGGAGGTCAATGCCTTTGATGACAGTGAATTCCCCGCTGTTTGGATCTTTGGAAAAAGATTACCAGGAAATGATTTTCCTGGGAGATAGCCTATTTCCTCTCTTTGGATCTAAAATTAGGGGTCGAAATTTTCTTTTCTGCCAGAAACTGTTTACACTATTTGAGTCCGAATTAGAGAAATTGTTTTTCTTCCCACAAGCTAAAGAATTGATTTCCCCATCAGATTTCCTTGCAGATTTCAGGCCCAGACGAAAAAGGGCTAACTCTTAGAATCTCTCTCCCTCCCTCTCTCTCTCTCTCTCTCTCTC